TTTTTTTCTGGTTCTTTGCTGCTGAGATCGTTGGTATAGTTTGTTTTTTCTTCTTTTCTTTGTCTTTTTTTTTCTTTCTCTCCGATTCTGTCTCTGTCTCCGTCTCTTCTTCTTTTTTTTTTTCAGGTGGGGTGGTGGCTTTTATAGCCACCACCGGTGTTCGTCTCGGACCGGTCCGAAGAGGGGGCCTCGGTGAGTCACCGGACTACCAGTGGTGACTCACCGAGTAGCCATGGCATGGACGGCTGTTATTCTGTCTTCTGGAGCCTTCATTCGGGACGTGGCAGCGGCGGAGGCGGCGAGAAGACTGTCGGCAGCCGCGTGGAAGCTGGGGCGGCGCCGCGTGGCCCTAGGGTATCAAACCCTAGGGTTCCTCTCTGGAGCCATGTGGACCGTTGGATCGTGCCAGATCCAACGGTTGTGATGAGGCGGCTGAGGATGATTAGGGTTAGGAAACCCTAACTGGAAACCCAAATATTTAGGGTTTCCGGTTGGATTTGGACCGGTTTCAGTTGGTTTGTAACTGAGCCGGTTTAATTGTAATTGGTTTGTATTTAATATATTTAATAATAAAAAAAATAATAATAATAATAATAATAATAAAAATAATAATGATAATAATGTTAATAATGATAATAATAATATTAATAATAATAATAATAAAATGGATAAAAAAATAGTATCTTCACAGCGATTTCCTTCTTTTTGGCAGTAAAGAATGGATCGACAATGAATCACTTATTCAACCAAATAAGATTCCACAACTGAACAAATTTAGATCTCACCACATTAACCAAACACAACGAACGGCGACAGGAGAAGCAACATCGACGAATGAGACTCCAATCTGATTTGGTTTGGTGATCTAGTGAGTGTTGGCGATGATACTATGCAGAACAACATTTGATGATCAGAACTGCAGCGGCTTCAGCAGAAAAAAAAATGCAAGGAAAAGCAGCAACGGAAGCAAAATGACGGTTAAAACCGTTGGCAAATGATGCCATATGAGAAAGGTGCCATTAATGGCATGGAACGAAGAACGACCAATGGCCAGAATGTGTGAAGTAGAATAGACGAACGACTGTGGTGTTTGTAAGTTAGGGATTTTGGTTACAAAGGAGAGGATAGAAAGATGAGTTTATTATTAGTAACAAATGACTATAATACTTTGGTAATCTTTAATGCTTTACAGTACAGGGTTTATATAACCCAAATTAACACCGAATACTAACAATCTTTTAACTAATACTAACAACCTCATAATTAATTATTATTATATCTAATTACATTCTAACAGAGCCACTACTAAATACGGATCGAGTACTAAAAATAATCCTCTAGACTCTTCATACATGAATTAAAGTTGAATGTTGAAATATCAATATTTATTTCACGTGCATAATTTCTTTTCATTTACTTACATTTTATATATTAAAAACCAAATATATAGAATTTTATCAAATGTTAATAGTAAAAAAATTAAAAAAAAAATGGATAGTATATGGTGATAATAAAGTAGTGTTTGTTCAAAAAAAATTCTTAGTTTATTGACAATGAAATACATCATGTAAATGAGATTGCTCGAAGTTAGATTATCTAAAGAGAACAATATTATCTTTTATTATTAAATTCACTTAATAAATTAAAAAAATAGAAGAGTTAAAAATCACATACTATTGGAGAATTGGTGATTTTTTTTAAATTAATGGTGAATATTGAATACATAAAAGCATATTCGTTCTTTTACATGCATATGATGTGATATATCACAGGGTCTCAAAATTTTAGGGGCCCCACACTTTAAAGAAAAAATCTATTAATAAAAAATTATTTTCCCAAAAAAATTGTTATCATTCATTTATTAATTTTCATGGTAAGATTTTAAAAAGAATCTTTTTATTTTCTCCTTTATTATCTCAATGAATGAATTGTAATCATTTTTTTTCTAAAAAACCTACACAATAAATTAATTGTAATCATTATTCTTTTATAACATTTTAGGTCGCATATTTCTTTTAACTTTAAATTAAGTTGTCATAGGGCAGAATTAGCTAAAATGTTATATATATATATATATATATATATATATATGTGTGTGTTGTATTGAAATAGCAGGTCCAACCTTACCTTCCATGGCTCAGATTGGCCATTTTTGCAGAAGTCCAACGATCAAATTCCAACTAAAAAAGTGCACTAAAAACAATAGAAATTGAGGACAAAGGATGCCTAAATATGTATATACATATTTTCCCTTAATGATTGCCCTCTCACACCATACGACAGCTACTCAACCTTATAATATTACAGACAAAGGATGCAATCGCCCCAACATGTATATACATTATCATAAGAAGACAAATATATTATATAAAAATATATATTTGGCATTTTTCGTTTGATCCTTTTTGCTTATTATAATTGTAATTATTGCTACTTTTTGATAAATAACGTAACATTCTATTTAAAAAAAGATAAAGAATGTAGCAAGCAGCCCTTTTTCAAGAAATCGGGATCTTCCATTTCCATGGAAACTGATTTTTTGTTTTCTCTTATTAAGCAATGGAAATCCATATGTAGTTTTAACTTGTCAGTCAAACGTAAATCATGGAATTGGATCATAATACAAATGTTGTAGTTTTCCAGTTTTTAAGGTTACTTTCAGAGTTGCGAAGATCAGAAATCATGTAATTTCACAGCTATGGTTAAAATCACTAATTTAAAATGTAGTCAACTTGCACTCAATGTGATGCAGTGACGCTGAAATGCGTCGTGCACAGCTAATTTTTATTAACAAAATGATTTAATTGAAGGATTAATTTTTTAAGGTGAGGTCTCTAAAATTTTTATAATAAAAATTAATTTGTCAAATTTGAAATTACGAGAGATCTATGAGGTCTTAAATAATCATAGAAAACGATCAAGGACACTGTCAAAATCTTCGTTTACAACTTTATCTACCACTTTCTTAAGAATCAAACGGAAAGTTTGTTTTTCCTTTAAACAAAAATAACATCAGGGTACAAAGGTTATACATGTAAGAATAGACGCATAATTTTAAGTTATGAGGTAAACTTCAATAAAAATATGTATAGAAAAAAATTAAAATATATAATAATCTTAAAATTCTAGAAGGGACTGTCATTGTTCTCTCCTTTCATTCCATCCTTATTTGCATGAACGAATCACAATGATATTCATGCATGGGCCTCTAAATTTCACAGAAATAAACATGTAATTTAACTTCTTCAATCCTTGTGATTTAACTCAGGACCAAACAAAAACCATGTTTCTGGAAGAATTAAATAGAGCCCGGGCAGATAAATAAACATTGCTTCCTGGGGTTATTGTACTTTACTGGTTTCTGTAATCATCTGCCCAAGAAAAAAGAGGGAGAAAAGGGAATTAGTAGAAGAAGAATTGAGAAGTCACTTTCAAGGGACATAACAGACAATAAAGGAACAAAAAAATGCTGGTGGGAAACTTTGTCTGGAGGTAAATTTCCTCGAAGCCCCCACTAGCTAGTGTAGGCAATGATGATAAGCACAGTTTAGAGATGAAATCAAGACTTGTTTAGTTTGTTGCTTAGTGGGCGTAGCTAAAGTAGAGTAAAAGTTATTTAGTTTCCCGTAGAAGATTTCAAGCTTTTGCTAATAAACTAATCATTCACTCTAATTTGTTACTCCATTATGCAGGTGTAAAAGTGCTTTTCTATTAGACTAGTGCAAACAAACGTTATCTTAATCAGAATAACAGTGAAATGTTTATGATTAGGTATTCATGAAGCAAGACACCCACCAGGGCCACCTCCTTTTGTTTTTTTGATGAATTTCATAGCCTTTTTAGCTTTTAAACTGTTTGCCTTTCATCATTGAATCTATGGGTATTGATTAACACGTAGAATAAGATAAAATTGACAGAAAAAAGAGGTTGCAAAACTAGGCTATAAGCATGAAGAACGAATCCAATTTACAAGCTCTAACAGAAATTTGCATAAAGCTGAAAGATACAAGTAAATGAATGTAAAAGGAAGGTTACAGTGAGGGACGAATGTAAAATTTTACATTAAGAGAGACAAATTTATAAAATATCATTATAAAACATAAAAAAATAATTAAATTTTATAAAAATTTAAAAGTTAGAAACGAAACCCTTAATCTATTTTCGGTTAGAGCAGTTGAAATGAATTCTCCCGCCGGAGGATAAAAAACTGGAATACAACAACAACAACAACAAAACCCAATTCCCATATGTATGAGGTAAGGGGGAGGTAGGGTAGTAGGCTACCCCCAACGCCAGGTTGAGAGTAGCTTCCGTGGAAGACCTCCGGCAGTCAGAAAATTAAAAATTTAGATAAAATGCAATGCATGTATAAATAAATACATAAATACATAGCTAATCAGTATTCATATGCAGTCATTAAAATCATATGTGCGTCTGTAACTGGAATTTATCCCTGCATAATAATCCCTGCGAAAGAATCTCTGCATATAGACAGAAACATAAGATCCGGCTAATTTAAAAGAGGAAACATGAAGAGAATGATACACAGAAAAGAGGATAAAAAACTGTAATGTGATCAAATATTCCCAGCTGAGCAGGACAATTACAGGAGCTTTATTGGCTCTGAATTCCGAGGCTAGCTGTTAGTTTCTGTTTTATGCCCTCAAGAAATTTTATCCTTTAATAATCAGAATGTAATTCCATCTTTTTACCCAGAAAAGAATACACCCATAGTTGCACGTATGACTCAGAGTCAAACAGAAACACAGATCCAGGGAAGATATGATACGTAGATTAAGGGGAGAAAGGCATTAAAGTGACAAACGATAGATATAAAGTAATAATATAAAAGAGCAAGATATTGCATAAAGCATGATCATCCCACAAAACCTGGGAAATCTTATCACAAGGTAATTAACAATATAGATCCTGATAGGCCTTCTCATTGGAATATCGAGATAGATTATGTCTTAACTCACTAGTTTTTGTCTAACAATCAATCAACTCTTAACCACAATTGACATGCACTTTTCTTTCATCTCGGTGTAATGGGCATTGTTTTCTCGCATCAGGGTTTTCTTTTTGTCGGCAATGAAACTATCTATTATCAACTGAAACTCTTCGCTGCTCATCTCATCCATTGATGTCCTCGGTGGCTCTGTGTCTGAAATCACCAGCTCTCGGCTTATCATGGTCGTCTCCGACCTCCGAAACTCGCGGGTTCGTTGGTTTCGAGATTCTGAAACCATCGATCGACATCTTCGGTACTCCTTTTGCTTGATCACTTGGGTTGGATCTGTACGGTCCTCCGTAGGTGGTTGTTTTACTGGGGAAACGGAACGTTTTGTCTCTGTAATTGTATCACGGTCACTGGCCGTACGTTGCTGCTTTACCGGAGAAAGTAGAGCAGCCGCATTTTTCACCAGGATCATTTGTTTGTCCACCATGGTCTCGTCTGTGGCCGACATGGGTACACTTGGTCGAGAGCTAACATACTCGTCGTAGATATCAGTACCGGCGGTTTGTTTATGGATCTGACCTCGGTTAGACAAAACATAAACAGCGAGGATGATGATGTTTACGAGGATGAAACTGAAGAGCGGCTTATTAAAAGTGGAAACCGAATATCTACGAAAATCTCCAGCAATCTCCACGGTGGGAGGGATCAAAGAGGGTAACAAGAAAACCGACAGCAAAAACAAAACCAACAAAAACCCGACGAAGCTAAGACCGATCCTCAAATTCCTCTCCATGTTGTACCTCCACAAAGCATCTTCTTTCTCCACCTTAACATTGTCAAATTCACAGGAAGCCATATTTTTTTAACAAGACAGAGAAGTAACTGAAAGAGGAGAAGGTGTAAGGTTGCTTTCAAGAGTTTATCAAAAAGATAAAAACCAATGAAGAAAAATAAGTCCGAAGCGGGCGGGGCTAGTATTTTCTTTGTAGGTACGGGGAAACTGAAGGATTTGAATTGATTCGAAGGCCATTATATATAAGTGAATTGCCTGCTTTTTAAAAAAATAAATAACAACAAAAGAAAGATGATGATTTTCTTGAATAATGGCAGAAGAGCTAGTGAACCAGAGAGTGAGAAATAGAACTGGAACCAAACAGTGGTAGACCCACGCGGGGGGTCGAGTCAGGTGAGGTGGCGCGCAGACGGAAGGGTCCCAGTGTGGCACCACTTAATATTTTTATCCTTTTTTTTATGACTTTGTCGCTTGTCTTGTCTTCCTATCATCCAAAGTGTGGGTCCTCGACTTAATTTGTGAAATTAATTAACACATGTTAATATGTAAGAAGTGTATTTATCATAATGTCTCCTAACGAAGCATGAAACTTTCTCTATTGCCTGGATTGCATTAGTACCAAAGTATTAATTAATTCTCAAATTAAGGCTTTAAGTCTATTTGAAGTTTATTTTTTTTAGTTTAAGACCGTTTCTTTTAGTAATATTATTTTTTAATATAATATATCTTATTATTACTCTAATATTTATTCATGAAAATATTATCTAATTTAAAAACAACTAGTATATTGTTAACTGCACTGACAAATATCGAGCTAAGTAGAAAATGCAGCCTCTCCTATATTTCAACATTAGAAACCAATAAGTTATTAGGAAAAGGTCCAAATTGCCTGCATGCCATTTTGACAAGACAAATAATTTTGGGGAAACTTTTTACTGTTTAGTTTGGAGTGTAATGGGAAAAAATATTTGATGCATCTCATCAAAGTGACTATGAACATATCCTAAAATTAATTGACAACGATCAGATGATGAATCTGTGGTGGGTTCGATTATCAATTATCATACAATTGAGATATTTTCTTTGAGTTTTTTTTTTCTTGAAAGGACTTTAAGTTAAATATGATAATTAGGTACATTAACTTTATGTGATAACCAGGGTGGACCGAGAAAGCAAACATAGGCATCACATGGGGTGTTCTTCCTTTTTCTTTTTTGTCCAGTTGGAAATGCGTGACTGATTTCATTTCTCTTTTAGGTACACATTTAAAGCTGAAGAGGTAGCATCCTTTGGCCACGCCCCGTCAGTATTAAACCAATCTTGTTTGCCCAACATCATTGTAGAAAAGGAAAATGAAAAGCAGATAAAAAAGATCCAAGTAAGCGTGAAATTTCCTATTCCATCGAGTTTTTTGCATGTTTTCTGAAACAGGGTGAAAGGGAAGTGTTGTCCGTGGGAAGGCGATGAAATCCATGAAGCATTGATTGGTTCAACCTGTCACTCTCTCATAAGTCACAAGAAGTGAAAACAAGGTCTGGTTCTGAAAATCACGCGCGGTTTTCTCTAACGAAGGATACGAAAGAAAAGGTATATGAATATCACGTGAGGCCTGAACTAAGAGTTGCAGTTTTCGTTTGAAGCCATTTCTGGTTCGAAACATGTTCCCTGCAGACGATACCAACCGTGAGATATGGAGCAGGCGATTGACAGCAGCCTCTCCCACATTCCAATACTTGATTAGTGTAGTTGTTGAAGTTCATTTTGAAATTAAGACTTTTATTCTTCACCAGTACTTCAACCAAATAATTTTTCATTTGCTACTTTCAATTCAACAAAGAGGGTTGACAGGCCAATAAATTAAGATTATAAGATTTCGCTTTGATTAAATCCGGATCGACTCATGTCGCACGTTTGATTTCAGTAGGTGAATCTCCCAACAAGAATTTTCTACATACATAAGGACTCGAACTTGTGACCTTGCTTAAGCGATATGAAGTTGCTTACCACTTGAAACAAGAAGCAACTCATGTTGGTTCTTGTTCTTTTTCATATTATGTCATTTATGTTTCTGTTTTTTCTTTATTTTTTTTTTCAATTTTAAATAAGAATTTATGTATGTGTAACTCACTTTTATTTGCTATCGTGGGACGTTATTTTCGCATACCTCCACGGTCATGTTGGTGCTCACACAAAGATCCTCATAATATTTGTTTTATGATTTGTTTGTCAATGCTCAAGTATTGTTAAATTCTCTCTTTGGTAAAAAGTTATTTACTGATATAATCAAAATTTTTTAGCAAAGTAATCTGTCAAATTATTTGGTCTGCTCACCACTCTCTTATCACTACGTAAAGCGTCTCGTTTGACAGAAACAATGAGTTTTTTTATGATTACTGTGTTATCTTGATGTTGGATGTCATTTTGAATGTAATGTTTCATTTTTCTTCATAAATTTGGGTTCAATATTTTTTATGTATGATTTTTTCTAGTGACTATTGTCCTCAATTTTCTCTTTGAGTGCTTTGTAATTTTAATTCTTTCTATTATGTTTAATTTGATCAAATATAATAATATTTTTATTTTCTAAAATTTGTACATTTTATATTAATTTAAAATAAAATTGGGTTGGGAGGGTCACCCTCATCTCTATAATATCCTATCCATATTAGTTAATCAATAGGTCAGATACTGATAGTTATAAAAAATATTATGATATTTTTAAGGCTTAATACAAAAATAAGTGCCCGAACTATGCATCGAAAAACATTTTGTGCCTAGAGAATTTTACACTAAAAATATGTCTAACGTTTTCTCAGTTATAATTTTATGTGTTCATCATCTATTTTTAAGTTTTTAATAATAAAAATATCATTTTTAATTAAAAATGAAAATTAATTTATTTACAAAAAAATATTTTTACTAAAATTATAAAAACCCTAAAAACTAAAATATCTCATTTTAACCCCATTACCAACTGGCATCTGCCATCTCTTGTCACCATCGTCATCGTTGAACAGTCACCCACCCGTCGCCACCCACACATTGACCAATCATCGTCCTTACCATGACAAAAAAATCCCTAAATCTAAAACCTCGAAAATCCAAATCCCTAATTCTCAATTTCAACTTCATAACTCAAACGGTCGTTGGCCATCACCGGCCATCATCATCGTCGCCAAACAGTTGGGTTTTGATTGGAATTGCACGGTGGTTTAAATAGTGACAGCGATGTGACTTGTGGATGTCGGAATCGAGGAAAAATGAAGACGGTGGCTTCAAAATCGATGAAACTTTGAATGCTTCTCTACTGTAAATGGTGGCATGTCACGATGAAAGGTTAACGGGGGTCGATGCCAGCGCCAATGATGGTGGTGGTGATGGTCACCGTCGATCGATCGACCACCTATTGAAGGGACAGGGGAAGAGAGAGAAGAAGCACTCGGGAGAGTTATTAAATTAAAAACCCCCCATTAATATTTTTGAAGAACAACTCTCTTAGAAGATTTGTTAGAAAAATAACCCCCAAACTGTAACATCCCAAACTATGGGCTAGTGATCAAATTGTAAAATTTCAGAATTTGGTGATTAAAGTAGAAAAGTTGAAAAGTTCAATGATTTATGTGAAAGTATTTCCAGAAGGGTTGTTAGTAATTATTGAAAGAGTCAAAGGGCAAATAGGTCATTGAACAAGAAAAATAATTAAATAAAATTTAGTGGGTATTATAATACCTATGTGATGCATGTGTGAAGAGATAAGTTTCCAAACTTATCTTCTTCATCTTCTTCTCTTCTCCAACGTGCCCAAGCTAGAGCAAATGTGAGTTTTATATTTTGTTGATTATTTGTTAATTTTAAGAGTGGGTTTTGATCATTAGATGATAACTAAGCTTAAGGAAAGCTTAAGTTATCTTAAAATCAAAAGATGAAGAAGTTACGAAAGATTAAAGAAAATGGGTTTTTAGGTGGAATTTTGAATAAGAAGGTTTAAATGAATTTGGAGGATGAATTTGACTTGTCATCTATGAGAATAAGAAGTTAGAAGTGTTAGAATTAAGTTTGGATAACATGAAAATTTTGGTATGATTCTTAGCCTTAAGAATTTGGATGAGATATTATAAAGTGTTTGAATAATAGAAATTAGTTAAAGTTGTTATAGACGAGTTAGTAGCATGATAAGGATTTTATACATGAAAATTGGGTGAAGTATTGATGAATTTCGGGCTATTTTGGACAGGTGCATCCATACACTATGAGTATGTACCGATGCACTAAGATAATTTTTGAATGTGTATCGATGCATTAAGGGGTGCATCGATGCATGGGAGTTCGAAGCTATTTTGTGTACCGATGCACCCATAGTGCATCGATACACCCCTAAAGGAAAAATGAAATTTTGGTTCATTAAACTAGCTTGAGTTAGCATCAAGTTATAAGGTTTAGGCTTTTGATAATCATCTCGGAAATTATATTTATGTAGATATCGAGCCTAAACGAGTTACGAAACAATCGAAGAGTTAGGATTGAATCAAAGCAAGCAAGGCTAAGGTGAGTGCAATTTAATTGTACTTATGTAATTGAATAAACATTGGCTTGCGATGAGTCAGTGACGGAGTTACTATGGTAAGAAATGCCTCCTAAAATGTTATTTGATTTGTGAATGATGTGATGTTTATGTGTACATGAATATATGAAATGTGACTATATGAAAGCAAGAACATGTTACATGAAATACGTGATAAGAGGATATGATACTCTGTAAGAGTATTACATGATATGAAATAAAGAGTTATGAGTGTATATGTTAAATGATAATGTATGATATAAAAATGTGACAGTAAGCCCTGTGAAAGAACCATGAGATACATAGGCTTATATGAATATGTGATGTAAATGTATATGTGAATATATGAGTTATATGGGAAAATATATGTGAACGAGATATATATATGTTTATGTAACTACATGTGAAATGATATAAATCATATGAAACGATTCACGTGATTACATGTAATACGTGATTACATGCACTTGTGATACATGTTATATGATATTAGATATATGTG